CCTGTGGGAGCTGAGTGGGGCTTCCCTGGAAGTGAAGAGTTCCACCAGTTTCTCAGCTTTCTAGGATGGGTTCGGGTGTGCTGGTGGTCTCGACTTGCTTTTGCCAGTTGCGATGTTAAGCTTACCCCATATCTCAGATAAGGTGGTGTGATGCCCAAATGTTGAGCTCCACTCCACTGCGGGCATGGTGCACAATGGCTCTCAGACTATTCCTGTTCTCTGCTGTAGGGTTATGCCTGTATAGCTTCCTAAAAGAGTTGATGCAGTGGTTCTGCTCCCGCACCTCGTCGTTGTAGAACCACCAGTCTCTTTTGTGAGTGCGCCTGTGGACTTCTTTGGAATTGAACACTCCACTGCCTGGATAAGAACAGTGATTAGCTCCTGTTCAGCCGTGTTAGAGTCTTTGAATAGAGTGCATGTGGACCACCAGTCATGAAGATAATCCTGGAACACTTTCCAGTTGGCCCTCTTTACGTCCCATCTAGGAGGCACCACAACTGTGGGGTGCCTGTTGATGTTGAAGGTGGTGATCACTGCAAATTGGTCACTGACAAGGTTAGAATGAGTTTCCCATGTGGCTCCCGCTGTGAGTTGTCTTGTCCCGAAGGTAAGGTCAAGGCAGCCACCCAACAGGTGTATGGGGTCTCCATTGTTTAGCAACTTTACCTCTGGAATATCGTGAAGGAGCATTGCTATGTGTCTGCCAGCAGCATTGGTTGCTGAGTGAGAGTGCAACATTGGATGATGTGCGTTGAAGTCTCCACCCACAACAATACACTCAGTGCGTGCTAGCGCGAGGAGCTCTGCAATGTCGAGGGTGTGTCTTGGGTTCTTGTAGATGATATAGATGGCAATGGGCGCTCCAGGTATGTGTACAAGGATGGCCTGTACCTCGACATCCTCCCCACAGTCCACAGGGTTGGCTATAACCTCGTGAGGTATTGCAACTGATACGAATACAGCTGTGCCTCTGCAGTGAACGCCCGCATCTATGTGCCGAAAATACCCAGTAAAACCGGGGAGTCTTGGGCACATAGCTGGGACAGTCAGTGTTTCTTGTAGCAAGACAATGTCAACCCGATCCCGAATTACTGCCTCCAGCAAGGGGTTTGCTGTTTGCCCCTCAGGCCCTGGATGTTCCATTGTAGGACCTTGAGGGTGTGATTTGGTACGGAAGTTATTCCATCGCTGTTGTTTCCTGAGTTGTGGACTGAGCCCTGCCCGCTCTGAGAACCTGCAAATTCATGGCGTCCACCTTCTCCTCCTCGATCAGTAAGCACACTCTCAGGAGCGTACTGACCATCTGCCGGAATACGCTCTGTTGTTCCGTGGAGTTGATTGTGTTGCAAGTAATATCCGTGAACACCTTGATGAGTGCTACGAGATCCTCCCTGGTGAGGGTCTGCGTTGGCATTGATTTCGAAACAGTGGATATTATCTGGGCTGTTGTGGTCTTTAGGGGTTGCTGAGGGTTGGATTTCTTTACTGTGTGCACCGATGTTTGTTGTTGTATACCAGATTGGGTAGCCGGCATCTGCTTGTGAGGTGCCAGGGGAGCCTGCAAAGCGGCTGTACTGGGCAAGGAGTACCTGTGTTGTCGTGTTATGGCCGGTGGGGGCTCGTGTAGTGCCGTCTGCTGATCGCGTTGACCAGATGTTCCCTGTTGACGCCTCTTGTTCCTTTTGTTTTTGTTTCTTCGTTGAGGTAGGGGGCAGGAGGCTCCTGTCTATGACGCCTGGTTGAGGCTTCGAGGGTTGGGAATTCCTGGGCATTGAGTTGGTGACCTGATGAGAGGTCTGCGGTATGGCAGGGTTCTCTGCACGCATCGTCTGCTGAGAGTGATAATGTGCCGTAGTCTGCTGCCGAGGTGTTGGCGTCTTCCAGGCTCCTTGAATTCTGGCGAGCCTCTCGGGGCATCGAGGATTCCATGTATGGTGTTTCTGCCTGCAGTTCGGGCATTGTGGAGTGGGTGGCGATGCATTTTTCAGCTTAGTAATGTCTTCCTCGGTAGGGTGGCGCTGGCTGCAGACACCGCAGATTACTCTGTTTGGACAGAGTGCACCCAGGTGTCCGTAACGCTGGTACTTGAAACAACGAACTGGTTCTGCCGTGAAGGTCCTGACATCGTACCTGCCCCAAGAACCGAGGTCCAGCTTGGATGGCAGCAGTCCTACATGCTGTATGAGGACCTGCCGGGATGGTGCATAGCCTGCCGTCTTTGCCTGGAGACGATGAGCTGACACCACACTGGGGTGACCTGCTACTGCCTCGATGGGCATCATCAGCGGGTACCGCATTCACTACACCCTTGGTGATCTTCTGCCGAGAATCCAGTTCCTCCAGGGTGAAGGAGCGGTTTGTCTCCATGACTCTCTTCAAGGTGGTGTACATTTCCTTGTTGAGAGGAGTCATTATTGGTTCTCCCCTCAGGCTGAACCATATCTTGAACCTCAGGTTGTGTCGTGATTCCAGGTATGTAACGACGCCATAGTGGGTTCTGTGCTCCCCGTAAGACTTCACTTTGAATTTGTCAGGTCGGTTGAGCTGGTTTGCCTGCTCCTTGAACGGACGGCGCTTCTTGTTGTTGTCCACAGTGATCCATCCTTCTTGGTTCTCGGGGGGATGGGGTGCTTATTCCCTCCCCTGTTTCCATATTCGCTGTCTCCATGGTTAGAACTGTAAGACCTGCTACAATGTGAGCAGGATATTCCTCTTCCTCTGATGACACGGAGTGGTCTCGCAACTTCTTTGCTAGAATTGCCCCTCACATTTCCAAATCCGAGTCCTCCGTCGTGCTCATCGAGCATCGTGGCCTCTTCTTTTCGGCAGAAGCCATGTGCCTATCTAGTGATAAGGTAGGGTACTCCGTGAACTGAGTGTGTAACTTGTACCTGTTGACTGGTACACGAGGAGACTACATAGACATGAAGAATTTCCTGCATGAGATGCAGTGGAAAAGAAAACTGGTTGGAAGAACAGTAAATGAAATGATGGAATATGTGACCACAAAATGTAAGGAGGCAGGAGAGAGGTTTGTACCCATGGGTAACAGAAACAGTGGAATCACCAGAATGAGCCCTTGATTCACCAAAAGGTGCAGAGAGGCCAAAGCAAATTGCACTAGAGAATAGAAAAGTATAAAAGACAAAAGACCCAGGAAAATAAGGAGATTAGCTGAAGAGCTAGAAACAAATATGGATTAGGAAGGGAGGCCCAGCGGCAATACGAGAATGAAACAGCGTCGAAAGCCAAATCTGACCAAAAACTGTTGTACAGCCACATCAGGAGGAAAACAATAATCAAGGACCAGGTAGTGAGGCTGAAGAAGGAAGGAGAGAAAATCACAAGAAACGACCAAGAATTTTGTGAAGAACTCAACACGAGATTTAAGGAAGTATTTTCAGTAGAGAGAGAAAGGATTCCTGCAAAACGGGATGGTAGGGTACACCACTAAGTGATGGACACAATACACACAACCGAAGAGGCGAAGAGACAGTTAAGTGAACTAGATACCTCAAAGGCATCTCTCCATTGGTCTTGAGAGAGGGAGTAGAGGCACCGTGTGTGCCACTTGCAACAATCTTCAAAAAATCTATAGAAACAGGGCAACTACTTTGAGGTGTGGAAGACAGCAGATGTAGTCCCAATCTTTAAGAAAGGAGACAGACAGGTAAGGGTCCAGAGAGGGGAAATCCTGTGACAAAAACCTACTGGAGTTTTACGACAAGGTGACAGAAGTAGGACAGGAGAGAGAGGTGGACAGACTGCATTTTCTTGGACTGTAAGAAGGCTTTCGACATAATTCTAAACAAGAGAATAGTGCAAAAGCTAGAGGAGCAGGCAGGAATAACAGGAAACACACTGCAAGGGATGAGAGAATGCCTGACAGAAGGAAACAACTAGTGATGATACGTGATGAGGTGTCGTGTGGGTTCCACAAGGGTCAGTTTTACGGCCGATTCTTTTTCTGGTATATATGAATGACATGACGGAAGAGATAGATTTAGAGTTCCTTGTTTGCGCCCATGTGAGCTTTAATGGATGAATTTAAAGCTTGAGGATGAAGTAGGACTACAAAGGGATCTGAACAGGCTGCAGGCCTGGTCCAACAACTGGCTCCTGGAGTTAACCCCACCAAGAACAAAGTCATTAAGACTGGGGAAAGTCAAAGAAGACCACACACCGAGTACAGGCCAGGGATCCAACTTCACTCAAAGAAAAAAATCTTGGGGTGAATATAATACCGAGCACATCTCCCGAGACGCACATCAAGCAAATAACTGCTGCAGCATATCGGCGCCTGGCAAACCTAAGAAAAGCATTTCGACACCTGAATAAGGAGTCATTCAAGACTCTGTATACCGTGCATGTTAGACCCATATTGGAGTATGCAGCACAAGTATGGTTTGCAACAAGAATAGTCTCGGAGTTAAGGGGTATATCCTGCGAGGAAAGGTTAAGGGAAATCAACCTGACGACACTGGAGGACAGGAGGAAGGGAAGACATGATAAACGACAGTAAAATAACTGAGAGTAACTGACGAGGTGGATAGGATCAGAATATTTCCGAGATGGACACGTGCAACATGGGGTATAACTGGAAGGGAAAACCTCAAACGAGTCACAAGGGAATTTAGATACTAGACACCTACTATATTCTCCTCACTCAGATCACAGAGTATCAGGAGGTGAGGAACATTGTGGAGAGTGATATAGTGAAGGCTGGAACCATACATAACTTAAAGAAGACATACGATAAAGCTCACGGAGCAGGGACAGAGTGGACCTAGTGGTGACAAGTGAAGAAGCGGGGCCAGGAACTGTGAATCGACCTCTGCAACCACAAATAATTCAGTACAAATATATAAGTACACACACACACATCACCTCCAATCACACTCGTCACCTACGGAACACTAATAAAGCAGGCAGATTTAGTTTGGTCGTTGAGGTGCAATATTAACAAAATACAGATACTGTAGACAGTGAGATGTCATTACCTGGATCTCTGGATAACAACCAATCAAATAGAGGGACCAGTTTATAGCAGCAGCGGTAGTGTCGTGACCCTCAAACATAAATGTATCAACCTCCTCACGGATGTCCTCATCAGAGAGAGCGGTTTTCTGTTCTGAGTACTCCAGCAAGAGGTCCAAGAATGCCAAGCGCTTCTTCTTTCCTGAATTTGAGAGTAAAAATACAGCTTGTCAAAAGGTAAAGAATGTATACCTTAAGCATCAGTATCAACATCTTATTTAAGAAGAGCTTCTTTTAATTTAAATGTTTTAGTCTTAATTCACAAATGTTTTCCTACAAGAAAGAGCTACAGCTACAAGTAAAGAGATATACATACTGTGTCTTATTATTATTCAAGTTTCCCAATGCAATATAAATATGATAAAGAGATTATTATATAGCTACTTAAATAAAATTATACTATTTTATGACCACATCCTCTTGTCCAGTCTTACCATTAATTATGACGAGCCAGCCATCCTAACACTGAACAGTCTTCTCCTACGAAGAGTGCCTCTCAACCTTACTTTACGTTGCCATTTCAATTTATCATATAAATATATATAAATATCTATAATATATATAAATATATATATAATATATATAATATATATATATATATATATATATAAATATATAATATATGTATGTATATACAAACACTGATCTTCTGGCTGAGAGGAGACTTCGAGAGAAACCACAACTTAGGACAAGGTAACGCATGCTTTACAATCTACCCACACTGGGTGACAATACCCATTTGCGTGTAGCATCCGCTACCGTTTTGATCCAAGGCAGCCAGCTTCAGGGAGAAGGCTACAGCTTTTCATCTCATCCCCTAGCTATGCATCCAGCCTTACTAGAGCGATTTTGAACAATGCAAGAATTCGCGAGAAGCAGCGAAATATTACACAAACACTGATCTCTGGTGCTGAAGGAGACTCGAACCTACGAACTAAGGACAAAGGTACGCAGTGCTTTACCATCTACCCAACGGACAATACCTTGGCGTGTAGCAAGCCGCTACACGATTGATCCCAGGCAGCCCAGCATTCAGAGAAGGCTTAACAGCTTTTCATCTCATTCCCCTGCATGCATCAGCCTGAACTAGAGATTTGAAACAATGCAAGGAATTTCGCGAGAAGCATGCGAATATTATACAACAAACACTGATCACTGCTGAAGGAGACGTCGAACCTACAAACCTTAGGACAAGGTACGGTCAAGTGCTTTACCAATCTATAACCACACTAGACATACCTTGGCTGTGTACATCCGCTACAAACGTTAGTGATCCACCAAGTCAGCCAGCTTCAGGGAGAAGGCATACAGCTTTTCATCTCCATCTCATCCCCTGAGGGGATGCATCACCTTACAGAAGATTTGAGACAATGCAATGAAATCGCGAGAGCATGCAAATATAACACAAACAACTGGATCTACTATGTCTGAAGGAGACTCGAACCTACGAACCTTAGGACAAGGTACGCAGTGCTTTACAATCTACCCACACTGACAATACCTTGGCTTGTAGCATCCGCTACAACGTTTGATTCCCAAGGCGCCAGCTTCAGGGAAGGCTTACAGCTTTTCATGCTCATCCCCTGCATGCATCAGCCATTATCTAGAGATTTTTGAACAATTCAAGGGAAATCGCGAGAGCATGCGAAATAAACACAAACACTGATCTCTGCTGAAGGAGACTCGAACCTTACGAACCTTGAGGACAAGGTACGCAGAGCTTAGCCCAAAACTACCCCCACTGGACAAATAACTTGGCGTGTGTAGCATCCGCTACACTTTTGATCCACAAGGCAGACCAGTTTCAGGGAGAAGCTTACAGCCTTTGTCATCTCATCCCCTGCATGCAAATCAGCCCTTACTAGGAATTGAACAATGCAAGGAATTCGCCGAGAGCATGCGAAATATACACAAACACGATCTCTGGCTGAAGGAACTCAACGTCTACGAACCTTAGGACAAGGATAACGCAGTGCTTTACCAATCTAAACCGCACAACTGGACAATACCTGGCGTGTAGCATCCGCTAACGTTTGATCCCCAAGCAGCCAGCTTTCAGGTGAGAAGCGGCTTACAGCTTTTCATCCTCACCCTGCATGGCATCAGCCTTACTAGAGATTTGAACAAATGCAAAGAATTCTGCGAGAGCATGCGAAACTATACACATAACACTGATCTCTGCTGAAGAGACTCGAAACCCTACGAACCTTAGGACAAGGTATCCAGTCCTTTTACCAATCTACCCACACTGTACAATACCTTGGCGTGGTAGCACATCCTCTACAACTTTTTGGAACCAAGGCAGCCAGACTTTCAGGGAGAATGCTTACAGCTTTTCATCTCATCGCCCTGCAATGCATCAGCCTTACTAGAGTATTTGAATCAATGCAAGGGAATTCGCGAGAGCATGCCTAAATAATACACAAACACAGATCTCTGGCTGAAGGAGACTCGAAACCTACTAACCTTAGGACAAGGTACGCAGTGCTTTACACCAAACAAACCCACACTGGGACAGATACCTTGGCTGTAGCAATCCGCTTACACATTGATCCAAGGGCAGGCCGCAGCTTTCAGGGAGAAGGCTTTCAGGCTTTTCACTCATCCCCTGCATAGCAAATCCCAAGCCTTAACTAGAGAATTTGAACAATGCAAGGAATCGCGAGAGCATGCGAAATATACACAAACCACTGTATACCTCTGGCTGAAGGAGACTGAACCTACGAACCTTTAGGACAAGGAACGCAGTGCTTTAAAAAACCAATCTAACCCACACTGGACAAATACCCTTGCCGTGTCTGCATCCGCTTACACGTATAGATTCCAAGGCACAGCCAGCTTTCAGGAAAGGCTTACAGCTTTCATCTCATCCCCTGCAGCATCAGCCTTACTAGAGATTTGAACAATGCAAGGAATTCCGCGAGAGCATAGCGAAACTATACACAAACACTGATTCTCTGGCTGAAGGAGACTGAAACCTACGAACCTTAAGGACAAGTACGCCATGCTTTACCAATCCTGACCCACATTGGACAATACCTGTGGCGTGTAGCTCCCTATCCGCTACACGTTGATCCCAAAAGGCAGCCAGCTTTTCAGGGAGAAGGCTTACAGCTTTTTCATCTCATCCCCTGCATGCACATCAGCCTTACTAGAGATTTGATCAATGCAAGGAGAATCGCGAGAGCAAGCGAAATATACACAAAACACTGATCTCTGGCTGAAGGAGACTCGAACCTACGAACTTTAGGACAAGGTACGCAGTGCTTTACCAAATCTACCCACACTGGTACAATACCTTGGCGTGTAAGCATCCGCGAGCACGATTGATCCAAGGCAGCCAGCTATCAGAGAAGGCTTACAGCTTTCATCTCGTCCCCTTCATGCATCAGCCCTTACTAAGATTTGAACAATGCAAGGGAATTCGCGAGAGCAAGCTAAATATACACAAACACGATCTCTGGCTGAAGGAGACTCGAAAAAAACCTACGAACCTTAGACAAAGGTAAGCGCAGTGCTTACCAATCTACTACCCACACGGACAAAACCTTGGCGTGTAGCAACATCCGCTACACTGTTTGGATCCAAAGCGCATCCAGCATTCATGGAGAAGGCCTTACAGCTTTCATCTCATCCCCTGCCAAGCATTCATGGCCTTACTGAGAGAATTAACAATGCAAGGAATCGCGAGAGCATGCGAAATATACTACACAAAACACTGAATCTCTGGCTGAATGAGACTCGAGAACACTACGAACCTATGACAAGGTATGGCTCAGTGCTTTACCAATCTACCCACACTGGACAATACCATTGGCGTGTAGCATCCGCTACACGTTTGATCCCACGGCAGTCCCGCTTTCAGGGAGAAGGCTTACCAGCTTTCATCTCATCCCCTCATGCATCAGCCTTACTAGAGATTTTGAACAATTCAAGGAATTTCCGCGAGAAGCCATGCGAAAAATAGCAACAAACACAGATCTCTGGCTGAAGGAGACTCGAAACCTACGAACCTTAGGACAGAGGTACGCAGTGCTTTAACCAATCTACCCACACTGGAGACAATACATTGGCGTGTAGCATCCGCTACACGTTTGATCCAAGGCAGCCAGCTTTCAGGGGATAAGTGCTTACAGCTTTTCATCGTCGATCCCCTGCATTGCATCAGCCTTACTAGAAGATTTGAACAATGCAATGAAATTCCGCGAGAGCATGCGAAATATACAACAAACACAGATCGTCTGGCGAAGGAGACTCGAAACCTACGAACCTTAGACAAGGTACGCAGTGCTATACCAAATGCTACCCACACAGGACAATACCTTGGCGTGTAGCATCCGGCTACACCCCCGTTTGATCCAAGGGCAGCCAGCTTTCAGGGAGAAGGCTTACAGCTTTCAAAATCTCATCCCCTGCCATGCATCAGCCTTACTAGAGAGTTGAACAAGCAAGGAATTCGCGATAAGCATGCAAACTATACACAAACACTGATCTCTGGCTGAAGGAGACTCGAAAACCTACGAACCTTAGGACAAGTACGGGGCGCAGTGCTTTACAACTACACCCACTAACAGGACCATACCATGGCGTGTATCCCGTCCGCTACACGTTTGACCCAAGGCGCCAGCTTTCAGGGAGAAGGCTTACAACTTTTTTCATCTCACATCCCTGCATGCATCAGCCTACTTAGAGATTTGAAACAATGCAAGGAATTCGCGAGAGCATGCGAAATATACACAAACACGTCTCCGTCAGCCAGAGATCAGTGTTTGTGTAAATTTCGCCATGCTCTCGCGAAATTTCTTGCATTGTTCAATCTCTAGTAAGGCTGATGCATGCTGGTGATGAATGAAAAGCTATAAGCCTTCTCCCTGAAAGCGGCTGCCTTGGATCAACGTGTAGCGGATGCTACACGCCAAGGTATTGTCCAGTGTGGGTAGATTGGTAAAGCACAGGTACCTTGTCCTAAGGTTCGTAGGTTCGAGTCTCCTTCAGGCCAGAGATCAGTGTTTGTGTCATATTTCTGCATGCTCTCGCGAACTCCTTGGCATTGTTCAAATCACTAGTAAGGCTGATGCGATGCAGGGGATGAATGAAAAGCTGTAAGCCTTCTTCCCTGAAAGCTGCTGCCTTGGATCAAACGTGTAACGGATGCTACACCGCCAAAGTATTGTCCCAGTGTGGGTAGAATTGTAAAGCACTGCGTCACTTGTCCTAAGGTTCCGTACGGGTTCGAGTCTCCTTCAGCAGATATCAGAGTTTGTGTAAATTTCGCATGCTCTCGGCGAATTCCTTGCATTGTTCAAATCTCTATAAGGCTGATGCATGCAGGGGATGAGATGAAAAGCTGTAAGCCATCTACCTGAAAGTCTGGCTGCCTTGGATCAAACTGAGTAGCGGATGCTACACGCCAAGGTATTGTCCAGTGTGGGTAGATTGGTAAAAGCACTGCGTACCTGTCCTAAGGTTCGTAGGTTCCGAGTCTCCTTCACAAGATCATTGTTATGAGTATATTATCGCATGCTCGACGCGAATTCCTTGAATATATGTATGTTATATATATATATATATATATATAGTATATATATCTATATATATATAAATACATATTATTATAGTAGTAGTACTAACCAGTCGGCCGTCTCTTCCACCGAGGCAAGGTGACCCCAAACAGAAAAGAAAATCCCCAAAAATAAAAAATACATTCAGCATCATACAACACTTTCACCTCAGCCAACACCTAAACCCCACTTTTTTGCGAGTACTCAAAACAACAACATTTTAGAAGCATGTAACTTATAAAGATACACGACATATCCCTTCCAAAACTGCCAAAATCCCAAACCCCCTCCTTTAGGAGTGCAGGCACTGTACATTCCATTTCCAGGACTCAAGTCAGGGGCTATATAAAAATAACCCGGTTTCTCCCTGAATCCCTTCACTAAATATTACCCTGTCACACTAGAGAAACTCCCACTGATCGTCAGGTCCCAAATACCATTCGTCTCCAATTCACTCCCGTATCGAACACGCTAATGCGACGACTTTCTTGGAAGTCCACAAGGCCCCTCGCCCGACAAAAACCTCCCCTTACCCCTTCTTTCCTTCCCAACTTTATGCGAGGACGACCCCTCCCCCGCCTTCCTTCCCCCTACAGATTAATACCTCCCATGTCATTTTACTTTATCCTTTCCCTTTCTAAATGCCAAACCACCTCAACAACCCCTCTCAGGCCTCTGACTAAAACTTTATTAACTCCACCCCCAAATTTTCCCAAAACCCTCCAAAATTTTCGCATAAATTTACACCACCATTGGCCCTTAGCAACACTCCACTCCCTCCAACCACCTCCTCGCTGCTGCTTTTCAAAACCCCCAAGCTCACACCCATATAAAAGTGTTGGACTACTAAACTTTCAACCTTCCCCTTCTTTTCCTCCTAGAACGTTTTTTTTCCCCACATATACCCAAGCACCACTCATCTTTTTCCCAAATTCAATTCAAATTAACCTCACCCCTTAAAAACCCCCTTCCGCCGCCTCAATTTCCCAAGAAACGAAAAAAATATTTTTTTCATACTCCTCCCCAATTTGATACCCCAATTTTTTTTAAAATAAACGTTTAATACCCTCATAAAACCTTACTCTTTTTCTATGCATTTTCGCTTTCTATTTTTAAACACACATCCAAAACTCTCCACTAACCTTTGAAATTTTTTTTTCAGAACTCCCATAAGCAAGTATCATCAGCAAAAAGCAATGTTAAATTCCCATTTTGTATTTAACCCCCCATAATTTAATCCCCCCCCTCCTGAACACTCAGCTTTTACTTCTTTTACAACCCCATCTAAAATATTTTAAACAACCAGGGTCCCCATACACATCCCTTCAAGCCCCAATTTTACGGGGAAATTTTTCTCCCTCTCTTCTACACACCCAAACCCTGAGCCCACAATCCCATAAAAACTTTTTTCCCCAATTAGTAACTTACCACCAAAATTCCATATACTTGCAACTTCGCCACATTGCTCCCACACTCTATCATATGCCTTTCAAATCCATAAATGCAATAAAAAATTTCCCACCTTTTAACTATATCTGTTCACATATATGCTTAATGTAAACACTTATCTACACACCCCCACCCACCTAAAACCCCCTTGCTCATCCGAATCCTACACTGTTTTACCTCAAATTCTTTAAATTATAACCCAACCAACACTTTTCCGGGGAATACTAAATAAACTTACCCCTCTATAATTTTACAATCCTTTTGTCCCCCTTCCCTTTATATAAAGGGACATACTGCTCTCCCCAATCCCTAGGTACCTTCTCCTTTCATACATTTTTAAACAAAAATCCCAACCACTCCAACACTATATCCCCCCTGCTTAAACATTTCTGTCATGATCCCGTCTTTTCCACTGCTTTTACCCCTTTTTTCATTCACTAATCCCTCACGCACCCCCCCCACACCACATCCTTTCTTCTTCACTCCTTAGTTGTAAAAATATTATTATATAATATATATATATTAAATATATTATATATATATATAATATATAATATATTATATATATATATATATGAAAATTTATATATATATATATATATATATATATATAAAATATAAATATATAAAAAATTTATATAAATTAATATATTTGTGTGTGTGTGTTGTGTGGTTGTGTGTGTGTGTGTGTGTGTGGTGGTGTTTTGGGTGTTCGCCCGAATAGGAAAACTGCTCAGTTTCAAGAACTCGTTAAAAATTAAGTTCTTCTGAAATTTTCTCTTTAATTAATTATAATTTTCAAAAAAATTTAAAAAAAAATTAAATAAGAAAAAACCAAAAAAACCAGGAACTTACCCACCCGTTTAAAAGTACAATTAATTTCCCCCAAACCAGCTAAATATTTTTTTAGATTTTAAAATAACCAATAAAAACAAATACAAAAATATACTTTTGATTCAAATGTTTTTCGAATTATTGCTAACAATTTTTTGCCCCCCAATTGGGAAAGAAGTGCGTTGTTTTTTTAAAGCCAAAATAGAAGTTTTACTTTTTGGGGCACGAAAAATTTTTAAAAAAAAAAAAAAACTAAAAAAATATAATTATATATATAAAAAAAAATTTTTTTTAAATATAAATAATTAATATAAAAAAAAATATAATTTAAAAATATAATATATAATATAAAAAATATTTTATAATATAATAATATATATGTCGTGCCGAATAGGCAAATTTGCGGTTTTGGGTTAAATACAACGCTCATCTTCCCATATAGGACAAGTAAAAATTTGTGTATGCAAAATTTCGCCAAAACTTTCAAAACCTAACGAAAAAAAATATTTTCCTGGTTTATTTAAAAATTAAATTCTGAAACAAATCTAAAATATATTTATTGGGGTTTAGGCTAAAAAAAATTTTTCTTGTTATAATGGGGGTTAGGGTAAGTTTTTCTAAGCCCTTTTTGTGCAATAATAAATTTGACATAAAAATTTAAAATGAAAAAAAAATATCTTTAAACGTAAAAGAAAAATTTTTTAGAAAGGACTTAATTTTTAATGAGTTTTTACAAATTAACCTTTTTACATATGGGCACGACTATATATATATAAATATATAAATATAAATATAAATATATATAATATATATATATATATAATTTATATATATTATATATATATATATATATAAAAATATATATAAATATATATATAAAAATTATATATATTTTTAAAATCCAATTCAAAAATCAGGAGCCAACGTACCAAATTACATCCTCTTCCTGGGTTGCTGCATCCTTTTCTGTTTCTTCTCCCGGGTACTCTGCCCTATCCTGATGTGTCATAAGAAATTTATGCAGGTTTTGAGGCGGGGAACATGCTCCGGGCGTACCCAAAAAAGCTAAAAGAATTTGGCGCAGCATGGCCGGGATTTGGCGCAGCTGAACTAGCGCTCCAATCCGGGCAAAGTATAAATAAAAAATTTGGGATATCACCATTGAAATAACAAATTGATGAGGAATGTGTGACCAAATTCTCGCCCCTTTAAATCACAAGGACGCAATTTTAAACCCCTTTTCCTCTGCACGAATAAAAATTTTTTACTATTATTATTCCAATTAAATTTTAAAAAAATTTATCACTCTTACTTCAAAAAAAAGAAAGAATAGACTCCCATATTAAATAAAAAGGAGCAAGAAATTTTGCCCATAATAAATTACACATATCTAAAAAAATCCATTTCATTTATTTTAATACTTCATTATGCCCCCCATCATACCCAGGGTGTGGGGGGGTAAAAAAAAATTACAGAGGTAAATAAGGGTCCATGGACGGGTCCCAAAGTTTGAAACTGAACAAGTTCAAAGGGTAATGAACCACCACACGCTAGATGTTGCACAACCAAAACAATTTACAAAGGCAAGAACCACTCACACTTTATACGGGCACATTTTAAAATGAGTTATTATGCAAAAATTAATTGGGCACACACACACAGTGGTAACGCTTTATATACCGCCAAAATCGGGTTTTTTCAGAATCTTTTAAAATTTAACACGTGGAAAAATCCACTTCAATAAACGTTTTTTCATCAAAAAATTATAGTATCAATAAGTCGCCGTAAACCACAAAAACTAAAATTGTTACGCATAACTGGGGTAGCATAAATTGTACACTGTTTTTCACGAATGCACTTCACGACGAAACGTTTTCAATCAATTAAAACGGGTTGAAATTATTCTAACCTAAGTTTTTCATATAGCATTTTAATTAAAACAAATTAGCAATAAATAAATATTTTTTTATTCTAAAGCGGGATTTATTATAAAAAAAAGCAAGTCATTCAAGGAAACATTGATTAAAAAAATGTTGAACGCTCAAAGAAAAGAAGAAAACACAAATGGTTTTGTTTTAAAGTGATGTTTGTTCGGAAATGACACTTACCAGCAATTAAAACAGTTACTACCCGACACTGCCTGGCAGTCTGAGCGCTGTTACTTTAGCGTTTATATTCACCCATAGCAGTCTCTGTGAGATAAAAAAAAAAAACAATATCAAAGACAATATTTTTGTGCCCTCTTTTCCGTGGGTTACACGAGGGAAGCAATCATTCTCTCTACTTTCAATTCCCTCAGTAAATTTTTTTTGTTTACATTCCTCCTTCGATCCTGCTTCTTCGAATGTTATTAAGTTTATCCTTCTAGCCGTACCCTTCAGCTCTGGGACTAATTCGTTGCAAATCTCCTCTTTTTTCAGCTTTTCTAAAAAAACCTTTATCAAGAAGGTCCAAACTGGGGCCGACTTAGTCTTTATAAGGTCATGAATGCCTCCTTGGCTGGTTGGTAAAGTTTTCCAGGAAAAAGGACAAGTGTTTCCTGATGCGGGTCTTAGCATATGATACCCCGCTTGGACATTGGTCTTTGACCGAGGGCCACTGGGTTACCGGGTCCACCCCTTCCCTCCTTTACGCAGCGTGTCTGTGATGGTTCTCGGCACATGCTTTGAATATCTCACCCCGAGGCCGATCTCTTTTAGAGGGTTTTCAATATTTTTCCCCCCAGGCTTATCCCCCCCCTTTTTTTCTCTTTTCCCCCACAGTTTTTTCATGGCTGGGGTTCAACCTAATAATAATTTTTTAAACCAATCCCGCATTTTTCAGTTGAACTTGTAGTTTTCCTAGCTTACTACTCCTGTTATATTACCCATAGTTTTACATCATCGCAAAAAGGGACACCCGTGACTCGATTTCCCGTCAGGGCGTTTTTATAAAACAAGACTACTAGACCAAGTACTTACCTTGGGGGGAACTCCCCCTCGCACATTCGGGTGATTTATGTGGGGATGTTTTTTATATTGTGCACATAAGCACTTCATTCCCGAAGAAAACAAATTTAAATAAATTACTGTCACAATGGAAATGTTATCAAACAGGGGATAAAATGAAGCAAAATAAATCCCCCCACCCAGAATTTTTTTTCAAGGGCGCTTAGGGGCTGCAATTCGAACTTGGTCCCCGCCATTTTAAAAAGCGGTTTAAAGCGCCCACCAAACTGGGGTTGCCCCGAAAAGTGAAAGATAGCTAATGTAAAATTTCTAAAATTTTAAAAGGGGAAAAACCCATTTCCCTTTAAAATACTGTCCAATAAGCCCAACATCTTATTTGAGGCAAATTTTAGAATCCAATTATAGCTAATTAATTAGAGGGTTTCCTTGACAGCATAATTTTAAATTACTGAATCTCAGCATGGATTCATAAGACGCTTTTTGCCTGACAGATTTTCTAACTTTCTTCAATAGAACATTTGAGGCATAGACAGTGATAAAGAAATGCTTTTTTTTTTTGGATTTAATAAAAAATTCGACAGATACCTCACAAAAGACCTTAAGAAAACTGGAACTTTGGATAGGATTTTAACTTTCTAACATGGCAAAGCAGGGTTACCAAAAAGAGCAGAGAGTTTTTCCTTAAGGGGTCAAATCGAGTTGGGGCAGGGCCTAGGGGCGTTCCCAAGGGTCGCTTTTTTCCCATTTTTTCATAATTTTCATTAATGACCTTGGTGAAGGGTTTTTCAAGTGACATGACTTGAATGATTTATTTTGAGGGTACCAATAAATTCCAGAGGATATGGAAAATTAATGTCTTGGCTGGAAAATGGCAATGAAGTTCATGGGACAAATTTTAAGACCCGTCCCTTTAAAGGAAAAAAAACTCTCGAAGTTATAAAATAAATGAAGTAGAGCTTGATTAACAGAATGTGAAAAAGATTGGGGAAACATGGAGCGGAAATCTAAACCCAAACAACAGCCTAAGGGTTTTTGCAATGAGGGGAACAATTACTTGGATTTATTTCAAGAATATAATAACGAAAGTCAAAAAATTATTTTACGCTCTAGTGAGGGCCCCATTTTTGGGTTTTGGGGGGCTCAGTTTTTTTGGGACAGGATGAAAAAATTCTTGGGGCATACAGAGAAAAAAGAACTAAAAATTTTATTGAAAAAAAAATCTCCCGTAGAAGGGACACTTAGATCCTTTAACTTCACCTCTTTTAGAGACGTAAATGACAGGAGTACTCAAATGTATAAGTGGGTATGACATACACAAAGGGGATATTTAAAAAAATACTGAGATATCGACTCAGTAAGACCCAGGAATAACAATTTAAGTTTGGATAAATTTTTTTTTAAAAAGGGCACGGAAGTACTGGTTTTCAAACAGTGGCTGATATGGAAAATTCTTCCAATAAATTCTAGGGGGGGGGGGGGGGGGGGGGGGGGTTTGGGGGGGGGGGGGGGGTGCGGGAAAGGGGGGGGGGGGGGGGGGGGGGCGGGGGGGGGGCCCCCCGGGGCGGGGGGGGGAAGGGGGGGGGTGGGGAAAAAAAAGGGGGGGGTTTTTTGGGGGGGGGTGGGTTTTGGGGACGCTCAGGACTTGGGGCTAAAGAAGGAGGGGCCCCTAAAAGGGAGGGGCTGGAAATCCCCGCAAGGAAAATCATTGGGTTGGGGGCAAAAAAGAACCCTGGATGTTAAAGGCATCTGCCCGCTTCTATATAATGGGACATGTTCCCCTGAGCCCGTTGGGAAACCCCGGGAGACGTTACACCTAGGCCCCCTTTTCCCTAATACCTTGCTCGCTTCCCCGGGGTTTTTCGGAGGAATCCCAGTGGCTTTTCCCTTGCCGCTCACTTGCCCCGGAAGGCCCGAGGGGGATTCAGTTCAGGCTTGACATCCTCCCTTTTGGGCATTTCCCGGGGAAAAAGAATGCGGGGAAGTGGAATACTTAGTCCTAAATGGTATTCCCCAAAGGTTTTGGAAACCCTTGAAAGTTGGTATCCCCCATTTCAAACTTTCGCCCCCAACAGTTTGGTTTTTTCCCGGGAAAAAAGGATCGGGGTACTTGGCGATTTTTCTCCCACCCTTAAAGTTTGAGGGGGTTTTTATCCCCTCATTTTTGGAGAAAGATTTTTCCATAGTATTAAAAATAGGAGTAAGGGGACAATAACCTTATATACGAAGAGGGAACTAGGTCACTAGAAAGGTAGAACCCAAAAATTTGGGAGGTCGGTCCCTCTCAAATCCAGCTGGATTTGAGAGGGCCCTTTGACCTCCCAACATCTGAGTTCTTACCTTTTTCTAGTGACCTACTTCTCACCTCTTGCGCTAATAAGGCTCCATCCTGTCACTTCATCTCCATATTGTTTCATACTATGGAACAATGCTCTTCTCCAGACTGAGGGACTGACCACCTCAAAACTTTAAGGGTGATGGACTGATTACATCGTCTTCAAGTATCTTCTGCTTCTATCAACTTTTCTGTACTCGACTGAAGAAGCCTACTGTGTAGGCGAAACGTTTCGAAATAAAGATACCTAACTGTTGCATGTGTGTCTTACCTAACATACTATAGTCAGTCGAGTTGAAGCAGAAGGAGGGGGAGTTACAATGGAACCATCCACTAGTGTATGTAGGTCTTCGACCACAGGTTGGACAAGTGTTGAAGAATTCCTTGTCAAAAACAGATCTACCTGGGTGAATAGTACATGAGTTGAAGACTGAGACACTTACGCAAAATATGGGAATTTTATTAAGGAAACGTTTCCCCACACAGTGGCTTCTTCAGTCCAACACGAAGCAGAGAGGGATAAGGAGAGGAGGAGTTTGAGGTAATCAGTCCCTCAGCCTGCATTCGATGTGTTCAGTCTTGTAGAAAGTACAGTATATGGCCGGAGAAGTGGCTTATATACCATAGTCAGGTAAGTCGAAGCAGAAGGCGGGATCACAGTGGAACCATCCACTAGTG